GGAGCTGTTTTGTTTGGCGTTTGTAGTTCTAAAAATAAAGTTAGTTTCTTTTTGACAAGTGGCTCCTGATTTGTGCCAAGCCAGACTTCGGCAATACTTAGCTTCAGCTTTGTAAAAATTCTGATTTTTTTTTATATTATGTAATTAAATTTTAGTTGTCTGGTTATTCAGAACTCAATTGCTAGTTGCAATAGGAATTCAAACTCTAAAATTGAGTTAAGTCAATTATAAGTGCATTGCTTTAGTCACATGAATTCTATTTCCCACTGATTAATGAAGTCTCTATCACATTACATTATTTTTAAATACCCAAGGCTAATTCTAAAGTCTTGTTATATTGAATCAGTACTCAAACATTTAACTTTTCTAAACCCTTTATTGTTTCAGATATCCAAATGATGATCCTATGGTTCAAGAAAGAAAAAAAATCATGAGTATTTTTTAAATTAGAATTTCACTAAAATTATACATTAAATTGAAGAGAATCAATAACTTGAATATAAAAATAAGTTCTATCTAGCAAGGAGTGGTAGCAAACACCTATAATCCCAGTGATTCAGGAGGTTGAGGTAGAAGGACCTTAATTTTGATGCCAGCTTGGGCAATTTAGGGAGAACCTGTCTCAAAACAAAATAAGAAGGGCTTGGGAAGGGTAGGGCATTTGCAAGCCATGCATGAGACTCTGGATTTGATCCCAAACACTGTGAGGAAAAAAAGGGTTGGGGATATAGTTTAGTGATAGAGTGCTTACCTAGCATGTATGAGGCCCTGAGTTCTATCCCTGGTGCCACAAAAAGAAAGTTATATTTACATTCATTCAACTTTTCTTATATATTTGCATGAAGTTTGAAGTATTATATAAATCTCAACATTCTTTTTAAATTAATTATAATATACTACTCAATTGTTCCCTCCGGATGCTGTCAAGTCACCTGTATACAAGTCATTGGCCTAAAAGTAGTTTAAATCATACACAACAAGGATAGGGACATCATATTAACATCACAGTTTTAAAGAATGAAGGAGCCATGATGAAAGTTCTCATGAAGTATTATAATGGATTATAAGTATATATTAAGCCAAAGATTTTGCCTTAAAATTTTCTGCTCATGTACTATGGCATACCTGTACAGAAAGTTGAGGAGGATCTTTTTTTTCTGACTTCATTTCCACAACTGCTATGTTGGGTTTCTTTATCCCAGTTTCTGATTTTCGAAATGATGGAGGAATAGAAGTTGTCACAGTTATAGGGTGTGGCTTGTTTGCCATTACTCCAATAGGCCTCATGGAGTCACTATTACTTTGGGTTTGTCCTAAGAAGTTTAGGGGAAAAAACTAAAGTCAATTGTTTCAAAAAATAAAGAAACAATCCACTGTCTGGATTTTATGGCTGTTTTCTTGCACGAAAGGAAAGCACTCATCTCCCTCCATCATCACCACTGTCTAAATGCCATGTCATTCTTTTAGCAGTGGGGATACTTATTAGCATTAACCACTTTAGATGTACCATTTAATTTAATTCTCAAAACAAAGTCTGCTAGGCACTAATATTACCACTAATATTATGACATGTTGTCCCAAATTTCTCAGCTTTCCTTTCAAAATCCCACTTGTTTTCTACATTTCTATGTTAAGAGAGAGTATGATATACTCATTAAAAGCACAAACTCTGAAGTAGAATGCTTGGATTTGAATCCTAGCTCCACTCCACCTGTATAGTCTTTGACAAATTACTACTTAGCCCCTTTGTACCTAGGTTTTTTACCTATAAAACTGGTATATTACACTAAGTGCTCTATTTGTTGTGTTAAATGAGTGAAGATATATAAAGGGCTTAAGCTTTAAAAATGTTAGCTATTATTGTACTAGAAGGCATGTTTAAACACACGTTAGCTGTCAGGTTGACATGTCATTAACCATAACATCAAAAATAAAAAATTCTTGGGCTGGGAATACAGCTCAAAGTTAGAGCTTGCCTAGCATACACAAGACCCTGAGTTCAATGTCCAGCACCATAAAAAATAAATATCTCGTATATTTAAAAATTTCATATTTAAATCATCCATCAAAATTAAGACAAAATGGCAATGGCACCAAAAGAAAAAAAAAAGCTAATTAGATTTGAACAGCAAAAATTATTTGTTCAATTTTAACATGATGACCAGAAACCTCAAATAAGTAAATAACAACTATCAGCTTATAATACATAATTACATGACTTCTACTTATCTCAGCCTAGTACAAAAGTATATAAAAGTGCTTTAAAGTACTTTAAAAACATAACAAAATTAACAAGTCAATCAGGTTTCCTAATTCTTGAATTATTATGAATGTCAATGACATATATAGACATATTATAAAGTTTCACTTCATCTATGACATGTACTATCAAATGTTAAAAGAATAAAAAAAGTTTCCTGTGAGTGAAACTATGGCAGGAATCCCTTATTTCAGATTGCTATTATATAGCAGAAGATACTGAGGCCCTCTCCACATCTAAAAACAACACATACAGGAAAAGGCAAGTGACTATAGTTTCAATAACAGTTCTGATTAAGAAATTAAAATTCACCTACATATTTTGTTTGGTTCTTACCTAAAAGAATTGCCATAGGAATTAGATGACCTTCCAGTGTACCTGAAAGAGTAGGCATTTCTCTGCTTGGGCTGAACAAATATTGCTGATCACCATGAGGTGGTGTAGTAACAGGATGTTGTATCTTAGAATCCACCTTCATAGATTTTGTTGCATAAAAGTCAGTTTGCGTTCTTATTGATTTTACTTTAGTGCCTATAACAATCAACAGTAGATATTTAAGAATATTACTTGGGGCTGGGGTTGTGGCTCAGTGGTAGAGTGCTTGCCTCACATGTGTGAAGCACTGGGTTCAATTCTCAGCACCGAATATAAATAAATGAATAAAATAAAGGTCCGTCAACACTAAAAAATATTTTTAAAAATAAAAATATTACTTAAATATCTATTATCTAACCATCTGGAAATACAGTAACTCTTCTTTACAGAAATATTTCATCCCATTTAATAAAGAGTTACAGAGCCCCAAAGCAAAAGAAACCTATAGACTCAAGGTTGGCAAACATCTTAAATGGCCAGAGAGTAAATAATTCAGCCTTGTTGGCCATGTGGTCTCAGTCACAACTATTTAATTCTGCTGATATATCAGGAAAGCAGCCATGGGTAGTAAGTAAATGAATGAACATAGCTATGTTCAAATAAAACTTTACATTTATAAAAACAGCTCACCTGTAAACCATAGTTTGCCATCCCTGTCTAGTTAAAAATACAGGGAAGCCAGGCATGGTGGAACATGCCTTTAAACCAGTCACTTGGCAGAAGGACTTTAAGTTTTAGTCCAGCCTCAACAATTTAGTGAGGCCCTCAGCAACCTCACAAAAAGACCCTGTCTCAAAAATAAAAAAGGATTGTGAATGTGGATCAATGGTAAAATACCCTTGGGTTCAATCCCCAGTACCAAAACAAAAAATAAAAAATAAAAACAAAAAAAAGGAAAGAAAAGAAAATCAAGGAAAAAGAGACTAAACTACTTTCTAAACTACTTTCTAAAACTTTCCTGGCATTATTATAAATTTTTATTTTTAACACATGGGTAGGTTTATACATCTAGATTTTTTAAAACTTCCTTTGTTTATGATTCCAAAAAAGAAAAAATTTAGTGCCATACTTTTACATCTTTGATATTCATTCATTCTATTGAATGAATATGTTCAGCATTAATATGTTAATAAGTGTTGGGCATTGTTCCATACACAGAGAATCTGAAGGTGATAAACCAATTGTACTCACAGAACTTACAGTGAGTGTAGTAAGGAAAACAATAAATAAAAAATAACGTAAGAGTTATGTTATGCTATGAAGAACAGTAAGGTGGGGCAAGAGAATAGGAAGGACAGGAGACAGCTCTTGGATAGGATGGCCAGTAGACCTCTCTGAGGAGATAACATCTAAGGCAGAAGTGGAAGGGACTAAGAGGGAGCCCCCTGAGTGTTTGAAGGAAAAGCTCTCCAAGGAGAGGAGCAGCTGGCAGCAAAGCCTCAGAATGACCATGTGTCCACAGGCTCACTCAATTCTACATTAAAAGGATTACTGAAAAAGTTACTTTTGGAATGGGCACAGTGGTGCATGCTTGTAATCTCAGTGGCTTGGGAAGCTGAGGCAGGAGGATCATGAGTTCAAAGGCAGCCTTAGCAATTTAGTGAGGCCTTGTCTCAAAATGAATTAAAAATGGGCTGGGGAGGTGGCTCAGTGGTTGAATCTCCCTGAGTTCAATCCCTGGTACACCCCCTCATTTCATATTTTTTATATGAAAGTATTTTAAAATCTCAAGCTATTTTTTGAGAAGGCTTTCAAAACTCCAAATATAATATATTTTTATTTTACTTAATTTTTTTATAATTTAATAGTAAGTCTCCAATAAATAATAGGAAACATTAGGGATGGGGTAACTTACATAAGCTATATGTTTACTAAAATAATACCAGTATAATTTGTAAATAACCTCACATCATAAAAGATAACTTTTAGAAAAAAAAAAAAAGAGAACTAAAGTAGTTGTCACAGCTCCAACTTCTAGAAAGAAAAGGAAATGGGTTGGTACTCACTAATAATCACATATTGTCAAAATAGCTTATTGATTGCTAAAGTAAAGCTGAAAAACTTCAAAATGTAACACAGTCAACAGTCAATACTTAACTAAGTTATATTTAAGGGTACCAGTGAAATGGTTGTTGTGAGTCAAAATGTGGAGTGATAAATGAGCATGGTTTTATTTGTCAACAAAAGAGACAAAAACATTTTCACCCTTGCTACGTAAGGTTCTCTGAGAACAAACAAAACTTCAACGGGGCCTATAAATACTACACAATAATAAACAGCTATGGCAGCTGATCTTTCCATTCATAAAAACATGATGGACCAAGGTCTTCAAGGAAATGCCTACTTTTCCTAGATTATAATTTGGATTGTCAAGACTCATTATCCCCTAAATAAAAATTTTATGATGCCTTCAGGCTGGTGCTGTGGCCTAGCATGTTCGAGGCGCTGGGTTTGATACTCAGCACCACATAAAAATAAGTAAATAAAATAAAGGTATTGTGTCCAACTACAACTAAAAAAAAATTAAATTAAAATTTTATGATGCCTTATCTGAAAATATCATCTACTACAACATTTCTTCCCACTTATTCCTATCTTCTGCATCTTTTAAGTTCTCATCCATTTCTTCCAAAATCTCTAGAAAGAATTATTTTTCCATCCCTAAGCATTAAATAATTTTTTTTTATTGGTTGTTCACAACATTACAAAGCTCTTGACATATCATATTTCATACATTAGATTGAAGTGGGTTATGAACTCCCAATT